TTTCAAAGAACTATATAAGAAAAAAATGAAATTCTTGAAGAACCCGCAGATCGACTCGCGTACTGAAATAATCGTATCCAATCACATGAAGAATCAAATAGCAAATATCCAAATTCCAAACATAAAAGATTGCTTTCTGTGTAAATCTACGTTGTTGTATATTTCAAATCTTGTTCTAGAAAGTCATGTTTATTGCATAAATTAAGCAGCTACAAACCATTATCACCAAGAAAGAAGAGCACAAAATGCCTCACACAACGTCGCAATATACTGAGATTCAATAAGAGACTAATAAAGAATATGTTCTTTTAAAGAGGCCAAAAGCTTCATGTATTTCTCTGCTAAAAATCAGTATTTTGAGTAGATTGTGTTATAGGAAGCCACAAAAAGGATGGTGAGAAGAGGAAATGAAAACTTGATAGAACTTCCATCAGACGATGACCCGGCTTCTGGAACTGTTTTTGATCCATTTCCATGTTCTGTTCAATAGATAATATCGAAAATAAATATGATTAGGTTCCATAAAGATTACCCAAAACCCGTTATCTCTTTTGCTCCATATAAGTTAATTAGTTCCTTTACCTGAAGTGTTTGATGACCCCGCAGGCGAGTTAACCGAATCACCACCTGAAAATAATACATTTCTAATGTTTGAGCAAACTCGATTTGGAGATCAAGCGGATTAAGCAAAAGATTAAGACCACCAAGTTTTTTTGTATACTTGATGCCACTAATTTCTTTTTATATATAGTAATTAAGGTCTTTCTTAATTAGGGTCATTATATATGCTGTTTTTCTACTAGAGAATTGTTGTTTAGCAAATATTTAATGCAACTTCATACATTTTTGTGAAGTGAATATTATTCTAGGTTTTGAATAATAAATTAATGAAAAAGCCACCATTAGTTTCTTGATTCGGACCATCATTTTTACTGGCTACGTGCATGAGTGACAAAACACAGCAAATAAATGTTGTAATCTTATAGAAAGTGATATTTTTTTTTACCATTGCAGCGACTAGCGGGAGGAGTTTGAACATTACAAGCTTTAGGCAAAGCAAGAGCTTGTGTTTGATTAACATTGATCCCAAGTTGAGAACCACCATCTTTAAGAACTTGGCACAAACACTTAGAAGAAGACCTAACAACAATAGCCAACTGATTGCAACATTGTTGAGAAGGAGAAGAAGAGTTTCCAGTGATGTAGTCAAGACATGGAGCCATGCTGAATAGAACATTTGTGCAATCCGATTGAGAAGAAACCGTCGTCGCCGCCATTAAAACTGTAAGAAACACTAAACACATTCCATGTTTCATCATGTTTTTCTTGTGTTGTTCAGAGAATTTCTCAAGAGTTTGTTTTGTATTTGGAGTCTTTTGTGTGAGTAAATAAATAAGGAACTAAAGCCGTATAAAGAGACGAAAATAAGGAGGTGGCTTAATTTGGATGACCAATTTTTTTTGTAAATAAGGAGGTGGCTTAATCTGGATGACTATTAAGTATTTTGTAACACCTTTTTGGTGTAGTTTGTGTTTTGATTCAGAAAATGAGTGAGTCTAGTTATTAGAGCTAGATTAATTGTGTTTTTAGCAAGCAAAATGAAGTGAATCTTCTTTAGTTATTAGAGCTAAACTAGTTAATAGATTAATTGTGTTTAGTTGTTGATCTATCTTTTTTTACTTTCACAATTTATAAACTGATCTTAATAGATAATATGAGTGAGTCTCATTAATAATTAGACGTAGTTTCTCTTCTTTATACAAACACACGATGAAAATATCAAAAGTCAACTGAATAACAAAAAAGTCAAAAACATAAAATTATGGGCTTTGATATTCCATCCAAAAGCCCAAACTAAACTCATCTTTCGTTCCCGTAATTACCCTCGATTTCTAGGGGCAAATTGGTAAATCCATATTTATCTACACCTCCTCGAGTTTTTGTTTCCCGCGTCAGTCTCAGTCGTCAATTCAGATCAAAACTCTCTCTGTAACAGAAATCACAAAGTAGAGATCTCTGAAACAACCGATAATGGCTGCCACAAGCACCACCGGAGTTTTCATCTTCTTCACCATGCTTGCGATCACTTTCTCCGCCGTGACCGACGCGACGCAATCACCTTCTTCTTCTTCTCCACCGATCCTGACTTGTACAGAGGAGCTCGTTATGTTCTCTCCTTGTCTTCCTTACGTCTCTGCTCCACCAAACAACTTGTCAGATACGCCGAATCCAATTTGCTGCTCGGTTTTCTCATCGTCTGTTCGTACTAACGCCGGAAAATGCCTCTGTTATCTTCTCCGGCAACCGATGATACTTGGATTCCCGTTGGATAGATCTAGATTGCTTTCTATTTCCCAGATCTGTACCGATCATAGCTCCGATGAGTCATTCGAGTCTCTCTGCTCACCATCAGGTTAGTTTGATTTCGATTTGTTCTATCTAATCGAATCGATTGTGTCAATTTTTAGGGATTTTTGTTTTTCTGTTGGTTCAGAGTCGCCGGAGCTACCACCGCTTCAGAGTATCCAGTTCACAAATCCGTTTGTTCCCGGTAAGAGACTATCGTTTCGGTTGATTCGGTGATGGTTTGGTTGTGATACGAGAGACGATCTTCATAGATTCATTCATAATCTGCAGGTAATCCAGTTTCAGCTTCTCCTCCATCGCTCGGTTTAGCACCGGAAACCGTCGGAATTTCACCAAGCTCCGATCACTTCTCACCAGAAACAGCTACCGTAT